ATCTAGCCTTCTCCTGCAAACCCGCCTGCGATTGCAGTTTTTTAAACTCGTCTAACGAAACCTCTGAAGGGATGGCCAGCATCAGAACCCCTCTTTCCTGAACCAGTGCACCGGCCTTTGCGGACCGATCTGCCAAAGCGTTTCCACATGCCTCCACACTAGTCTCAGTGGTATGAGCCTTCACCTTAAGAACAGCAATCTCCCGTGGCAGGCCGAAAGCAATGAACAACCTGTCAATCAGTTCTGCATGCTTCACCAGTTTACCTGAACTTGTGAGGAATCCCCTCGCTTTCCAGATGGGACCAAAGTCATGTGCAATACCAAACGCGTACCTTGAATCCGTATAAACATTAATCCTCTGACCTTCATGCAACTCACATGCCCTGGCCAGTGCCCACAGCTCAGCTTCCTGAGCTGACATATGTGCGTTCAGAGAGCCCTTTTTCCACAACATCACTTTCAGTCGTGACCGCGTAACCAGTGTGTGGCTTACCGTCTTGGGTGTAGTACCTGGACCCATCGACAAAAAGATTTTTCGCTTCCGGTATTGGCGTTTCCTTTACTGGGCTGATCGCCGCTGACTCCAGTTCCATCAAAGAAATGCAGTTGTGTCCTTTGGAAGAGAGGTTAGTAGTGGACAAAGAAGACATGTTAGTAGAAGAGGTGTTGGTATTGTTAGTCGCGTTGCAAGATTTAGCACTGTCGTTGTTGTCCTCCCCCCCCTTCTCGTCTTCCAACACAGGAAGAAGAGAAGCTGGGTTAAAGAATAGTGCATCGTTTGATAGAGAGGTTAGTAGGAGTTAGGAGGGCTACCTCGTATTTGGTCAATCTTGCTGCAGAGAGATGTTTAGTTTGGACCTGGTTTAGGATCTCTTGCACCGAGTGCGGAGTGTAGAGTGTGAGGGGTGAATCCAAAACGATGTCACCCACTTTTTGGACAAGGACAGCACAAGCAGCCACTGCCCTCACACAACCCAGGGACCCTTTGATGACTGGGTCCAGAGCGGTCGATAGGTACATGATGGGGCGGTAACCAGTCCCTCGGAATACAGCTGCAAGCTGAAAATAGTGTTAGATGACAGGAAGCTAGTATGAGGGTGTGAGCTATACCCTTCCTCTCCTGAAATGTAATATCTAGCAAATCTGAATTCCGGCTTAAATATTGTCATGTAACAAGTATTAGTTAACAAAAATAACCTCATTCTTCCACGTTAGGCCCCTACTAAAGTCTAGGATAGGACAACCTCTGGTTGCAAGTTGTGCAGTGTATGACAACACACCCCCACCCCTCTTGAGGCTAGTATACCCTAGACACATGGAAAATAAGCCACTGACGAGAAAACAAATAGGCACTGAATTCTTCAAGAAGAGGTACAAAGTTCATCTGTGGAAAAAGAAAATCAATTTTGACACTTCCTCAGGTTGGTAAGTGGTGAAGTGACTGTCCTCAGGTGATACACAGAGATGAAACAAATCTTCCTAAATAAGTCGTACTTTTTTATCTGCGCGGTCATTTCTTTCTAAAGATCGTTCGAAAACACACAGGTAAAAGAATCTCTTCCCAGCTGTAGCAGCAGGGGGCGGAGATCCAAAGTTTTTCACAGAGCCGATCTGATTGAGGATAACTGTGAGCCCTGATTGGAGGAAAGTAACACACCACATCCCCTACACATAATATTGAGAACAAGCACACCTGTGGATACCATTCACAGGCTGTGTGCTGGACCTCCCCATCACTTCTTTAACTCTTGGTGTCAGAAAAAGCACAGGGAAATCACACTCAGTGCTTTGGAGAGAGGCAAGTACACAGCATAGAACACCATGCTTTTTCTCATATTATAGGTCTGAGGTTTACAACCACTTTAAAGAAGATCTATCATCAGAAGAAAAAAAGCTTGTTAAATCCCCCAAGGGTCCCTGTGCACATAGCATTCACCCCCATTAAAATCAAAGCAATATTAAATAAAATAAATATAAATATTTATGTCATTGTTAGCTGTAATTCCATCCCCCTGAAGCCTCTAAGTATGGCCATTCCCATGGGGAGGAATCACAACCAGCACTGAGCCCCATCCCCTTTCTATGCTACAGAGCCTGTTTCCTCACCTGTTCTGTTCAGTTCATATAGAGTCCAGAGCTGCAGCCTGGAGCACAGAGAGCAGAAACTGTTAGCTTGTATTGTGAGTGACTGCAGCTCTAGATGAGCATTTTTATTCACAAAAACACAAGCTGACAACAGCACCTGCTACTACACTAGTCCATGAAAGCTCCAGAGATATCCCCTATGGATATTGACACTAAATGATTCCTCCATCAAGATACCTGGCTGCACCATAGCCACTGCATCTCTTTTTGCAGATTCCAGATCAGTTGAGATTTGGGGGAACGTACCAGGACCCAGCTTGAATAAGGTGCGGGTCCAGCCTGTATTGTCAGCTTAGGACACTGGATCCTGTGTGGGTGCTCACCTTAGCACAGGGTGCTCACCTTAGCACAAGGTGCTAGGCAGAACCCTGTCCCTGAAGAATCTTCGTGGGGTATGCCCATTGTGGAGACTGCAGCCTGGATAGAGGTTAATTCCCTTACATCTTTCCTGGAGCTTTATGAGATCTTCCATGGTAAGGGCTTGGCTTGTGCTCCTAAATTATGTCCCAGGGTGCTGACACTCCTATGCCTAGGCTACAAAGGAGCAAGGGCTGTGACACTTTCAACAGAATTGTCCCAAGAGTCCCAAAACTTTGCTAAATTCTTTAAGAATATTCCCCAGTCTGGGCAGTTAAATATTCCATAGCTCATACCTCAGATATAGCAGTAATAAGGTTATTTAAGGAGGGAACCTCTATTGTCTTCCAATACCTCGGAATTAAACGCCTTGGCAGTCAGAATATGTGGACACATTGTTTTAGAGCATTTAGGGATTCCTTTAATGAGAAGGTTTAAAATGTAGTGTATAGGGTCTAGTGGAATGGCAAGTTCTAGAATCTGTTCCAGGACTTCATGGCCCAATATCTCTGGACCTGGGGACAGAACCACCAGAAAATATGGGCTAGGAATCCTTTGTCAGTTAAACATCTCCAACACTTTGCTGATATAGAAGGGTTCATAGCATGTAGGACTACAGGCATCATACCATTGCATCATGACTTTATAAATATTTTCCTTAAAGATTCCAGATCTAAAAGTTTTTGAAGCTGCTTTCCATATCTTCTGCCTGGTCACTAAAGATATTGGTCGTTGAAAAGCTTCCGCCCATTTTCCTACGTATAAATGTGTGTCTTCTTCTAGAGGGGTAGCTGTTTGAAACAACTTATATAAAGTGGATATTACATGTATTTGAGTCACTCTGCATACATATGCGTTCAAACTCAATGGGGCAATCTAAAGTTAAAGAAGGTTTCAGGGTATGAAAGAGATGATGATGAAATTGGAGATATGCATAAAAAGACTGAGAAGGTAAAGGTTTTTCCATGTTTTTAAATCTCAGATTCTAGTAATTTATGAGTGACTAGTTAATCATGTGGCATATTTGAAATATGCCAGCTTGCGCCCAGGGTAACGTTTGAGTATAAGACAGGCTATCAGATATGGCTGGATTGTATAGGACATTTGTTATATGGGAACAAGGTGGCAATAAATTAAAGATTCTGTTGCATTCATGCCAGATCTTCATTGTAAATTGCATTGAGTTTAACAGATTAGTGTGAGGTATCAGTTTGGAGTTTGCAGAATAGGTGCCTAGTAAAGAGGAAAGATGGATTGGATACAATTAGTTTAACCCAAATTCTGCCCATCTGTTGCATGGAAGCCTGTTCAGCCGTGGGAGAGTCTGTTGTGAATGGGATGAAAAGTAGTACTTAAAGAGGCGTTCCAGTCGTTTTTGTGTCTATTAAAAGTCAGCAGCTACAAAAACTGTAGCTGCTGACTTTTAGTAAACACACACTTACCTGTCCTGGAGTCCAGCGATGATCTCACCTATGGCATCCCTTCTCCCCTTCTCTCCTCCACGACTCCGGCATTTCAACTGTGGGCACCAGGCTGTGACAGCTTGCGGTGTGTGGGTCCGCTTGATTACATCAACCAAATCCACTGTCCTCCTAGTATAATATCCTGCTTGCCTAGCTAAATATGACTATATTTTTTAATATTTCCTTTATTTTGGTGGCAGTTCCCTTTAAAGTCTATTTTTTGAACTAGTAAAACGGTTTGTGAAACTATAGCAAAAAAAATTGGAAGGTTTTTATTGTATTGTTATACAGCAGCAAACATTTTTCAGTGGATTATGTTAAATATTTAGGGCTAATTTACTTTTACAAGCTCAACACGAGCTTACAACTCAAAAAATGAATAATCCAGCTATAGTAGAAAAAATAAAAAGCAGCTCTGACTGCAATACTCACCGTGTCTCCCTGCAGTATTTCCTGTTGGCCTATAGAGGCCCTCACACTTCCAGGAGCAATCAACCCAGTGTCAATTAACCCGTTTCCTTTGAGTGTAGACTGCCATGGGCCCATCCGCCACAGTAAATTGTGGCAAAAAATGGCAATGGCATCATCTCTGTAACTGCTGCTCCGTGCTTTATTGGCTATTGTCCAAAGTTAGAGAAGAGGCTAATTGGAAAGATTACCCCTTTAAACAAAAGCAAAGAATATTGGCTGTGGGACATCCAATATTGGAGAGGAGTGGGGAAGGTGAGGTCAAAATTAGGATTGAAATACTGGGTAGCTAAATCTGGTTGCAATGCAAAATGTAAGATTCCAACCTATTTTCACCATTACTAAACACAAATTAATCATGCAATCAAGTAAACCAAAGAGCATAAAATGTTCTAAATACGCTGTCATGATGCTTCCATTGGAAGAATTGAAGCAATGAGACAAACATGGACAAACCTAAGCACCAAGTCCATGCATCTCTTAAGACTACCCCCCCCCCCCCCCATTATTCTATCAATGCACATAAAATAAAAATATACACTCCATTTTTCTTTTCTTATTTCCTAGGAAGAAAAAATGAGAAAAGAAGAGGAGGAGGCAAAAAAAACGTGCTGATGATGATGCCAAGAAGAAAAAAGTACTTTCGAATATGGGTGCACAGTTTGGAGGTGGTTATCTAATGAAGGTAAGGTTTTACTAAATGTAAATTAATGAGTAATTCATTGAAAATGTATCTTTTTTCCAGCTGAACAACTAACAAATAACCTCCTCCTAGCAAACAGCAAGCATTCTTGAAACCAAGCTTGGGAAAATTTGAAAACTCTCCCTTACTCTCCGCTCCAAGGGAGAGTAAAAGCACTTTTACATGAACATTCTTGGGCTCCCCCAGTAGACAATCCCCCCCTCCCCCATGCTCCAGCAGTGGACTGTCCCTTGGCATCATCAGGTTCAGGCTATGTCAGGATGTTTTACAGCTGGACAGCAAGACGCTGCAGGGACCGGTCTAGCATTGAGGAGGATTGGGTAAGTTAATATTCTTTTCTATGCCTTCTAGACCTAAATGAGCAGTCAACCTTTGCATCCCCACTGTAAGGGAGAAGGTTCAAGTTTACCAGGGATTGGACTTTAACCTACATTTTCTGCTTCTGTCTGCAGCCTTAAATCTCACTAAAGTCTCGACAAAGATTCTAGGCAACTATCGACCACGACACATCTCAAATTCAGAACTTGAGAAAGAGGGAAACAATGCACATGAACTTTAATGGCATCCCAGTCTTAGTCCATAGGGTTCAATATTGAGTTCGCTCACCCTTTGAAACTATAACAGCTTCAACTCTTCTGGGAAGGCTGTCCACAAGGTTTAGGAGTGTGTCTATGGGAATGTTTGACCATTCTTCCAGAAGCACATTTTTGAGGTAAGGCACTGATATCGGATGAGAAGGCCTGGCTCACAGTCTCCACTGTAATTCATCCCAAAGGTGTTCTATTGGATTGAGGTCAGAACTCTGTACAGGCCAGTCAAGTTCCTCCAACCGAAACTCGCTCATCCGTGTCTTTATGGACCTTGCTTTGTGCACCGGTGCGCTGTCATGTTGGAACAGGAAGGGACCATCCCCAAACTGTTCCCACAAAATTTGGAGCATGAAATTGTCCAAAATATCTTAGTGTGTTGATGACTTAAGAGTTCCCTTCACTGGAACTAAGGGGCCAAGCCCAACCCCTGAAAAGCAACCACACACCATAATTCCCCCTCCATCAAACTTTACACTTGGTACAATGCAGTCAAGCAAGTACCTTTCTCCTGGCAACCGCCAAACTCAGACATATCCATTGGATTGCTAGACAGAGAAGCACAAGTCCTCACTCCAGAGAACACCTCTCCACTGCTCTAGAGTCCAGTGGCTGCGTGCATTTGATGCTTTGCATTGCATTTGGTGATGTAAGGTTTGGATGCAGCTGCTCGGCCATGGAAACCCATTCCATGGAGCTCTCAACGCCCTGTTGTTGTGCTAATCTGAAGGCCACACAAAGGTTGGAGGTATTTGGCTATGGAGTCTGCAGAGAGTTGGCGACTTCTGCGTACTGTGCACTTCAGCGTGAGCTGACCCCGCTCTGTCATCTTACGTGGCCTACCACTTCGTGGCTGAGTTGCTGTTGTTCCACTTTGTTATAATACCACTAACAGTTGACCGTGGAATATTTAGTAGCAAGGACGTTTCACGGATGGATTTATTGCACAGGTGGCAACTTATTACAGTACCACACTTGAATTCACTCAGCTCCTGAGAGCAATCTATTCTTTCACAAACGTTTGTAGAAGCCGTCTGCATGCCTAGGTGCTTTATTTTATACACCTGTGGCCATGGAGGTGATTGGAACAACTGAATACAATGATTTGGAGGGGTGTCCCAATACTTTTGACAATATAGTGTACATGTTGAAAAGTGAGTCTTGCTACAGTGTGCTAAATACTAGCCATGGCTTAAACAGGTAAAAGCACAGAAAAATGTACTGCTAGTATTTTATATGCTTTTCTTACTTTATGAATCTCTCCTTCTAAAGATTACTTACAGTACTATTTAAGTGGCAGGATAAACATTTACCATACCTTGGCATTAACTTCACATTGTCTGTATCCTAACTTTACTGGACCAATTATCCTTCTCTGTACAAAAAAATGAAAGAAGAACATAGACAGGTGGTTTCTGGCTGATGGAACTGAGAAACTCGAATTACAGAAATTTCAGTAAAAAGTGACCCAATACATCGGGGGAAACAAGGGACATAGTTGGAATACAATGTTCATGTATTTTGTGTGCAACAAAAATTGTACATCAGTATAAGTAGAGATATACTCTTCAACCAGTAGATAGTAGTGGTTATAGGTTTGTAGCTGCATCTATGATAGAACTCTATGTCTTTTCTCCATAATAAAGTTACTGTTTCCTGTTTTCACAAAGAAGCAGCACATAAACACATGTGGACTGTGCATGGTTTTTTCTGTCGGGCTATATACAGAATCTCTCACAGACACAGGGTTTTCAAATAAATTACTAACCTTTAGATCCCATGAGACTCTAGGAGTTCCTAGCGTATTTTTATTTTATCAAGCAGTCCAATTATCCCAACTTTCAGTGATATACTCAAAGCAAAGAACTGGAAAAATGAGCTGTTCTCCCTTAGCTTGTTTTGTCCCCATCTTTATTGCATTCACTGGGCCTATGAGACAGAGTACATAAACCTGACACTCTAGCACTCACATTTACCCCACAGGCAAAATGGAAATTGTGCACCCAAGATGAGGGTCAGAGTAGAGGAATTTTCATAATATATGGGCTTTTATTGGAAGAACCAAGCAGGTTTCGTATATGATAGCTTAGAACACAGATCTCAATAACACTCCGCAGATCCAACAGTGGTAAAAACGGTGCATACATTAATCTCAAGGCGTACTTTCTTGATGAGGCTAACCTATAGAAAGTTTTAAAGGGGGCAACCATCTGGGTACGATGCTTCATATATGGTGACAGTGTCCTAAGTTTAAGGGATTTTGGAATGACCTCTTTACTCTTATTCAGAAAGTCACAGACTTACCGATCCTGAAGAACTCTCACTATGCACTACTAAATGAATCGGTTAAGGATATACCCTACAGCTCTGAGAGGTTAAAGTGATAGTAAAGGTAAAATTAAAAACATAATATTAAACATGTCATACTTACCTGCTCTGTGTTATGGTTTTGCACAGAGCAGCCCCAATCCTCATCTTCTTGGTCCCCTGCTGCTGAGTGCTCCAGAGCAAGCCGATTTCTCTGGGGGCACTCATGAATGCTTGCTCTTGAGCCCCGCTCTGTGTGTCCATAAGACATACAGAACAGGGCTCAGCCCTGCCCCCTGCTCCCTCCCTCCTCTCACTGGCTGTGATTGGCAACATTGGGAGCCAATGGCACCCTCTGATGTGCTTAAATCAATGAGGAGGCAGAAACCCAGGAGAGAAGCTGCTTTTGTGCACAGTGCTGGATCGCGATCGAGCTCAGGTAGGTATTAGGGTGCTGTGGGGGAGCTGCATACTGAAGGTTTTTTACCTTCATGCATAGAATACAAAATTAATAAGTGAAACAAGTCTCAGGCTTGTGAAAAAAAACATTGTACTTAAGGAGTAAATTCATCTTTGCACCTGAAAAGTGAGACAACCATGAATGAATTACATATGGTGATAAATTTAATTTACAATGGGGACTTCCGGTGTCTTATTGTTTCATGGTGAATGTGTATGTGTTGCTGGGAAGGGGGCCTTAAAGCTGCATGGACAAAGCACAGGTTCTTCTTAAATGCTTTTCTGTTGGTAACATGAATTTCGTTGTTTCACAGGCAGAGCAAAAGAGAGGAAAGAGACAGACAGGGCGTGAGATGAAGAGAAAGATGCTGGCAGAAAGACACAAACCTTTGTGTATTGATCACATGAATGAAAATCAGCTGAGGTACTTATGTATATACATATTTCAAGTCACACTGCACTGTTGCCAGAGTCACACAGCTCAGCAGGATAAAAAATATAAATTTACTCCATGTGCTATAACTAAGCATCCTGCGAATAGAACCAACTCCTACTTACAAACAAAGCACACACTTATCCCCTCTTTGTGGATTATCATGTGTAGTAGGTGTTGTAACTATATAAGGAAATAAAACTTAAATCAGTTAATATTTTTTTCCATTCAAAGAAGAAGGCAATTATTATGCTAAAGTAAAACCTACAGTGCCATATTTCAGAGACTATAGGCAGACATATAGCATAGTGGCTGGAGAGTATGTAAGCAGCTTGATGGGGCAGAAATGTAAGAGGGAGAGATGAGCCTTTTTTAACTAGAAATTCAAATTAGAGTGTATTATTTAAGAGGCCACAATCAGAAATATTGTGAAAACTGGCTGCATATTATACAAGCATTTTTACTTGTTCGCAGGGTAAGACTGAGCAATGACGAAGTTTTTACATGAAGGAGGGAAAAAGGCAGAAATACAGCAGCCAAAAAATATTGCACAGACACTCTGCACATCATGTAAGCAGTTTTACCACAATGGAAAAGGGAGAGATGAGGTGGATTTTATGGTGAAATAAAACTTGGAGTGTATTCTTTTTGAGACAAGGACCAGAAACCTTGTATAGACTCCATAGTCAGTCACTGAGACAGTTGGAGTAGGACATATTTTAAAAGACTTCTGGAATGTATGACATCATTTGCCTAGGCATGGAAACCAGGAAGTAACTAAAGAAATGTAAAAAATTGTTTAAAACCAGTAAATACAATAAACTTTCCTACCTGTTTACTAATGCTAGCAGTATAAGGATTCAAAATAGTCAATGTTGAGTGAAAGAGTGAAGTTCCATTTTAATGAAGAAATCATGGTTTGAGTACACTTTTTCAGATAGACAATAGCCACAAATATTTTTGGTAGATGAAGGAATGGAATAGGCCAAACAACAGGAGAAAAAGAGCATGATTCAGCCTGCAGCAAACACTTAAGCAACCATGGAAAAATTATATGTGGCACATTTTTAGGGCCAGAGTCACTTAGGTGACACTATTTTAGGGTGGCTAGTGATCAGGGACACTCGCTGGCTGCTCTGGTGACACAATGTTTCTGTGTAGCCAGCCAGTGTCCCTGATGTCTAGCCACACCAGCACAGTGTCACCGTACCAGTGCAGCCAGCCAATGTCCCTGATTGCTAGCCACTCCCGGGACAGTGTCACCAGATCAGTGTAGCCATCAATAGTGTCCCAGATTGCTATCATATCAGTACAGTGTCAACAGACCATTCAAACCAGCAACAGTGTTCCTGATCGCCACCTGATCAGGGCCAGCGTCCCCAGACCAGTATAAGCCATCAACAGTGTTTCTGATTGCCGCCTCACCAATCCCAGTGCAAGCCAGCAACAGTGTTCCTCATCACGGTCACATCATTTCCAGAAACAATGTTCCTTATTGCCGTCACACCAGGGCCTGTGTCACCAGACTATTGTAAGCTATCAACAGTGTTCCTAATCACTGCCACACCAGTACAGTGTCACCAGACCAGTGTAAGCCAGAAACAATGTCTCTTTTTGCCACCACACCAGGGCCTGGTCACCAGACCACTGTAAGCCATCAACAGTGTTACTGATTGCTGCCACACTAGCACAGTGTCACCAAACCAATGTAGCCAGCAACAGTGTTGCTGGCTGCATTGGTCTGGTGATTGCCACCACACAAGTCCCAGTCTCACCACAACAGTGTAAGCCAGCAACAGTGTTCCTGATCGCTGCCATACCAGTCCCTGTATCATCAGACCAGAGCAGCCAGCAACAGTGTTCTGATCACCACCACACCACTGCCAGTGGCCCAGACTAGTGCAGCCAGCAACAGTGTTCTTGATCAACTCCAAACTAGTGCAGTGTTGCCGCTGCCTACCACCTGTTCTGACCTTGACTGTTTATTGACCAAATTTCTCCCTTCTGCCTGGGCCACATCTGTGCCTGCCATCTGAACTGACCTATCTGCACATCCCAATGACCATGGTCCTGAAAGACACCAGTCCCAGCCATCCTCTGCAGACAACTGCACTCCTGAAACTACAGGAACTCTTTTGTTCACCCCCTTGTTTAGCCTCCTGTACTTCATGGCCCAGTGAACATGGCGGTCCTTGGGGCAATCAGGTACCAGTAGTCTAGGCTTGCTTGGCTTATAGAAATGGGAACTGCTATAGGTGATCCAAAGTTAAGCTATATTCCCTGACCATTCATACAGAGGTGAGCATTATAGTACTGTATGTTCTAACAAGGGATTAGACCATTGTGATATGTACATTGTATTATGTTTGGAGTGATTGGGAGTTTTTCTTGCAGCAAATGATGTATATGCTTATATATAACCAAAAAAAGTCTCTAAAAAATCTGGTGAAATGACAGGAGAAAATAAGCATATTTTACTACATGTAATGGGGTGGATTTACTAAATATAACGGTGTTGATTTACTAAAGGCACATATGGCCCACTACATATGACATATGTTCTAACAGAGGATGAGGCCATTGTGATATGCATGTACATTGTATTATGTTTGGAATGATTGGGGCTTTATGCAGCAAATTATGTATATACTGGTGTATATACACAAAAAAAGTCTCTAAAAATCTGGCGAAATGACAGGAGAAAATAAGAATATTTTACTACATGTAATGGGGTTGATTCACTAAAGGCACAGAGTGAGCACTTTGCAAGTGAAGTTGTTGTAGAGCATAGTAAATGAGAGGGTGCTCTGCTGACTTCCTTGCATGTGATTGTTTATTCTTTGTAAAGTGAAGCTTTACAACATGTACTAAGCTCTGGAGAAACTTGCAAATTGCACAGGCTATTTGCCCTAAAGTAGAACTATAGGCAAAACTTTTGTTTTCATTTTGGACAGAGTCCCAATATTTTTGGCAAAATAGTGTATTTGCCCCTGGCATTTTACGACATTAAAGAATGAGAACATCAGGGTTGACAAATTTCAAACATACATACCATAGTTTGTAGACTCTATAACATTCACACAGATTAAATAATATATATTTGCTGTTTTTTCACCAAAGCAATGCAGCAAAATACATTTTTGCCTAAATTTATGACTAAAGTTTATTTAAGTTTTTTCGAAATTGTCAGTCTTTTTTCTTTTATATAGTAAAAAAAGTATAGTCAAAGTGGTTGATTTATTAAAAGAAAATAGACTGTGCACCTTGCAAGTGCAATTGCATTCTGTAGGGGCATTTGCTTCTGAGCTCAGTAATAATGTCCAGTCACATGCATGGACAAAAAACTGCTTTTACTTACACATGATTCAATGATGGAAGTTAGCAGAGCTGCTCCTCATTTAATAAGCTCTGCAGCATATATACTTGCAGAGTGCAACTGCACTTGCAAAGTGTACAATCTTTTTGCCTTTAGTAAATCAGCCCCAAAGTATCACAGTGCTACAACCTGAAAAATGGCCTGAAAAGGAAGGGAGTTTAACAAATACTTAAAGATGGCTGAAAGTTTAAATGCCTTTAAACCTATTAGAGAGGGACCAAAATGAAGAAGCTTTAGTAATGTTGCTACTGCGCAGCTTTGTTTACAACAGTGTTCTTTTAAATGACAGGGAAAAAGCAAAGGAACTAACAGACTGGATGTATCAGCTGGAATCAGAGAAATTTGATCTTATGGAGAAAATGAAAACTCAGCGATATGAGGTATGATCAATAGCCACATCTAAAAATATGTACACATATAAAATGTGCAGCTTGAGAATACTCATCTTTCATCCTTCTCTTCCAGATTAATGTCCTCTACAATCGCATCAGCCATGCACAGAAGTTGTAAGTAGTGTTAGCCTTCTTTTAGAGCATATAAATTGCAGGATTATTGAGGCTGAATGATTTTTTGGACTTTGAGCAGTACATAACATACTAACATGCATTATGCTCCAATAACAAAATATTGTAGCTGCGGGCATATTTTAGTCAGTTGTATCTTCTCACTTAAACTGTTTTTCATGGGGACAGGGTTGAGGATGGGTAGAGTTGTGAAAGGGCGGAGCTGATTTTTGTTGAGAGCCATAGCTGATCATTTTTAGTCTGGACAGTGTGGGAGCAGCTTAGATATGGGCGTGCAGAAATTGTGTATTGATGTGACCAATGAGTAGTTAGGAGTAACTTGGCCAAAAACACACTTTGTAAAGTCAAATGAATGCTTGAATTCTACTGGAAACTCACAGGGGAACAAGGAGATGCAGGAAGGGTGGTTGCTGGCAGAGGTATACAAAATAAGTAGCAACTAATTTAGCATTACCTAAGCCACATGAAGCTCAATTGTCATTGATTTGTGTGCCACACAGTCCCCAACCATGTCTCCTATTTATTAAAGGTCATTCGTCTCAAGGCTCAGGTTTCATAAAGGAGCTTTGTATATGCTCCAAAACACGTAACTACCCCTGTCAACATTACTTCCGGTGCGTGCATTCCACAGTGGTCCCAGAAGTATGGTAGCCATCTTGCTTGTGCATTCTACCCTTCCCACAGCTGTTGTCAGGCGTATGAGATTTAGTGAGAGCCATGAGAGGAGACCCACTATCACATCTATATGGGATTGATGAGCTTGACAAACACATGCCTTCTGTGAACGTTTTTAACTGGTGTCTTCCAAATGAATATTGGTTGTATTGCACTGAAAGGTGCCTTCTTTTTCTCTTATGTTCTAACATGGTTTGGGGTAACAGAGTCTGAGGTAAGTGAACTGAAACCTTTGAGAAAGTATGGGGCAATGTTGGGAGAAAATATTTTGTAGGAGTTTGTGGAAATTCCTCAAGTGATGGGATATTCAAGAACCTGAGATTCCAAAGCGTTCAGCTACGGGAGGCCATTATTTGTGAAGGGGATTGGAGGGTAGTGAGCCTGTCCATTGTGAATCATGCAGTGTTATGTTGTGGGGAGGGCTATATAGCTTAGGGTAGAAATGAATACATCTTTTAGCAATCGCCTCAAAAGATACTTGTTTTTTTTGCCCTTCCTGTCACTTATTTCAGTGATATGATTTGCAGTTCTGTGTTCTCCCAGGGTTTTGGCTTTGATGATGTCATGTTCTTAGTAAATTTTGGATTTGAGAAAAATATCTCTTAGACTTATATTCTAGGAAATAGAATAGCTCTGCCCTGGACCAGATCAGTACCGAAGTATTTGAAGCAGCAAAGATGTTTTTATGTTGTTTTCCTGCTAAAACAATTTCCCTTGAAGGATCATCTTATTGATCTGCATGTATTTTCTCAAGTTTTTTGCTCAGGGAAATAAATTCCCATCTCAGAGTACATTTGTGTGCCTCTTCAAAAATGAAAGTATTTATAGAGGCTAAGTCATTTTCAAATAAAGAGTCAGAGATTTTAAAGACCTTATTTAAGATTTTTCCCCGATAAAGCCGGCAAAAGTGTCCCTGCAGAGAGCTCCGCTATTTCTGACAGTTCTCTGACAGTTCCTTCACATGTACAGCGGTTTTGAAACATTGTATCTATTTGTTTTTCCATTTAGGATACAGATGTTTTTATTCGGAAATAAATAGATACAATGTTTCAACCCGCTGTCAACCGCTGGAACTGTCACAGAACTGTCAGAAATAGCGGAGCTCTCTGCAGATACACTTTTTGCTGTAACTGGAATACTTCTTCTTTTCATTCTTCTCATTCTTCTTTTCATTCTTCTTTTCATTCTTCTTCTCATTCTTCTTTCATTCTTACGCACTTCTTCTTTTCATTCTCCTTCTTTTCATTCTTCTCATTCTTCTTTTCTTCTTCATGAAAAGAAGAATGAGAGAAGAAAAATGAAAAGAAGAAATGAAAAGAAAATGAGAAGAATGAAAAGAAGAATGAAAAGAAGAAGAAGAATGAAAAGAAGAATGAGAAGAAGAATGAGAAGAATGAAAAGAAGAATGAAGAAGAATGAAAAGAAGAATGAGAAGAATGAAAAGAAGAATGAAAAGAAGATAAGAAGAATGAAAAAGAAGAATGAAAAGAAGAAGAAGAAGAATCTTTTCATTTTTCTCATTCTTCTTTTCATTCTTCTTTTCATTCTTCTTCTTCTTCTTTTCATTCTTCTTCTTCTTTTCATTCTTCTTTTCATTCTTCTTTCTTCTTCTTTTCATTCTACTTCTTCTTTTCATTCTTCTTCTTTTCATTCTTCTCATTCTTCTTTTCATTCTTCTTCTTCTTCTTTTCATTCTTCTTTTCTTCTTTTTTCATTCTTCTTTTCATCTTCTTCTTCTTCTTTTCATTCTTCTCTTTTCATTCTTCTTCTTCTTTTCATTCTCTTCTTCTTCTTTTCATTCTTTTCATACCTGTATGGAGTGAATGTCAGAGAACTGTCAGAAATAGGCTATTTCAAGACAGTTCTCTGACATTCACTCCTCAACCGCTGTATGGAGTATTGAATGTCAGAGAACACTGTCAGAAATAGCCTATTTCTGACAGTTCTCTGACATTCACTCCATACAGCGGTTGAAACATTGTATCTATTTGTTTCCATAAATGGAAACAAATAGATACAATGTTTCAACCGCTGTATGGAGTGAATGAGAACTGTCAGAAATAGCGGAGCGTCTTGCTCCGCTATTTCTGACAGTTCTCTGACATTCAATACTCCATACAGCAGGTTTGATCTGAGTGAATGTCATAAGAGAGATCAGAAATAGCGGAGCTCTGCAGATACACTTAGCGGAGCTCTGCAGATACACTTTTTGCCGGCTTGGAATTTTTCTTATTTTCATCCTACTTCTTCTTCTCTTCTTCTTTCTCATCCCTCATCCTCTTCTTCTTCTTCTTCTGAGGATGAGGAGAGGAAGAAGAAGAAGAAGAAGAAGAAAGAAGTAGGATGAAAATAAGAAGAATTCCAAGCCGGCAAAAAGTGTATCTGCAGAGCTCCTCTAAAGTGTACATCCTCATCCTCTTCTTCTTCTTCTGAGGATGAAGATGAGGGATGAAGAATAAGAAAGAAGAAGAAGAAGTAGGATGAAAATAAGAAGAATTCCCAAGCCGGCAAAAAGTTATCTGCAGGAGCTCCGCCTAAGTGTATCTGCAAGAGCTCCGCTAAGTGTATCTGCAGAGCTCTGCTAAAGAAAAGCGGAGCTCTGTAGATACACTTTTTGCCGGCTTGGAATTCTCCTTCTTCTCGTCATCATGTTCTTAACTGCGTTCTTCTCATGCCTTCTTCTTTCTTCTCCATCCTTCTCCTTCTTCTCATCCTTCTTCTTCTTTCTTCTTCATCCTTCTTCTTCTTCTCATCATCCTTCACCTTCCTTCTCAAGCTTCTTGTAAGTCTTCATCATCCTTCTCCTTCTTCTCGATCCTTCTCCTTCTTGCTCATCCTTCCCTTCTTCTTCTGCGATCCTTCTCCCTCTTCGCATCCTTCCTTCTTCTTCTCATCCTTCTTCAAAAAGTAAGGGTCTTTCTCATCCTTCTTCTTCTATCCTCATCCTTCTTCTTCTTCTCATCCTTCTCTCCTTTCTCTCATCCTTCTTCTTCTTCTCATCCATCTCCTTCTTCTCATCCCTTCTTCTCATCCCTTCTCCCTTCTTCTCTCACCCTTTCTTCTCATCCTTCCTCCTTCTTCGTCATCCTATAGGTCTGCCTTCTTCTCATCCTTCTCCTTCTCCTTCTTCTCATCCTTCTCACCTTCTTCTCATCCTATCTCCTTCTCCCTTCTTTCATCCTACACCTCTCTCCTTCATCTCATTACCGTTCTCCTTCTTCTCAACTCTTCTCCTTCATGAATCTCATCCTTCTCCTTCGTCCTTCTCCTTGCTTCTCCATACTAGTCTCCTTTCGTCCTTTCTTCCTCATCCTTCTCCTTCTCCTTCTTCTTCATCCTTCTCCTTCTCCTTCTCCTTCCTCATCTCCAAGGGCATTTAAATTAAACGGTACAGTGTTCTGCATAATCTAAAGCTCTCGAATCCCCTAGAAAGACCTTTTATAAGTTTGAATTCGTAGCGACATAAAATTCGCAATCGAAATCGAATTTTCTTCCTCAAATTCGCCGATCCATCCGAATCGAATTTTTTTGAATAATTCGCATCGGGTGATCATCTCTAGTGATTAGGAGCTAATCTGAAGCATCTGAGTATGTTTTGTGGAAGCTCAAATTTTGGTGTCTCTATTTAAGCTGAGGATGTCTTCCCCATCCTTCATAGAGATAAAAAAATATATATGTTTTTAGTATAATTAGCACGAGGAGGACAAATAGAAAGCAATAATCTTTATCCCTCTGGCTGAAGTATACGCTATATGGTCAACGAAGATGCAGGTCCTTAGTGTTTTTTAGGGTGCCTTTGGAGGGTCTGGTAACGAAAAAGATATGTGTTTGGGAACTAGAGCCAAACATTTAGCCAACGCAGACCTTCATCTCCCAAAAGGGAGTTGTCCCTGTCAACCCTCCTTGTTTTTGTTTTTACTTTTTTTTATTTTTATTTTGTCTCTGGAGCCCCACCTTGCAGCCATTCTCACCTAGGTGAGAATAGCATGTCACAGAATCCCAGAGGCTACAGAACAGCTGGAAGGTGACGCCAGCCAAGCATCATAGGGATTACCCTTTTGAACCTGGAAGTGTAGCCAACTCTATCAGTAAAGAATTCCCAGATTGACGACTCACGGCTATATCTCCAGAACAGTGAATTGCAACAGGACAACGCTGGATTGCTGGGCAGTGTGAGTATGTGTTTTGATGGAGAAAACCATCAAGGAAAGAATTTGTTGGTCATTCTAGAGATTTTCCTATTTGGAAAAAGTTCTATTTGGGTTTTGCTTTTTTTTTGTCATGAAATAGAGCTATAGCTCTATTTT